AAAAGAGAAAAGAAGAAAAAAACATCCTTTTTTAAAAAATTGGCCAACTAGCCTCATTTAGCTTTCTTCCTCATTAATGGCCAATTAATAGTTATCAACATATGTCCATCTTTAAAAAAGTTAAAGACTTCCTTTTCTTACCCCTGTAGTCCTTAGGTTGAGTATTTGACTGTTACCCAAGTGGTTGATCATTCGCACCTACCCAGAGATAACTCAGGAAAAATACTTGACAGTCTGCTTCCAAGCATTGAAAAACCTCAGCATTGAATAGCATTGAGTCCTTGACTATCACAGCCTTGAAAACTTTACAAGGCACGATTCTCCATACTCATTAAATTGCCATGAGTTGGAGCCAGCTTAGTAGCTGCTAGATTTTAGGTGGTGTTTTGGGGGTTGGTTTTTCTCCTTACCTCATAAACAGAGCAGTTGTGGAAGAACACAACAGCTTTTGAACCTCTCTGTCATTTTCTGAGCTCATAGCATGTTAACCACCTTGGGAGAGAGAATGTAGGGGCATGGTTGTGATGTGGTTCCCTTCTACTTCTCAGTTCTACTCAGCTCATTGCCACGAAGTCTGAACCAACTCATAGCTGAACCTTTAGCAGATTTTCCAAGGCTGTAAATCTCACAGGAGGAGATTGCCTGTCTTTTCCCCATGGAGTAGACGGTGGATTCAAACCACCTACCTTTGAGTTAGCAACACAACACCCTGCTGACTAGGCCACTATCATTCTAAGGGGTTAAGGAATTACAGACAGAAAACACAGAATCTTTATTTAACATTTATTGTGTACCCCCGTTAATTAGGCACGTTGGAGCTACAAAAGTGAACACAGCATTTCAGCTCTCAAGGAGTTTATGATCGGACGGGATGCATTTTGTCTTAATATTGGTGGCCTAGTGGAAAGAAGCTGTGCTGCAATTCTAGAAATATGTTGTTCAAATCCACCAGCTTCGTCTCCACTGCTATTTACTGCCTTTGAAAACCCAGTGGAAGGTCAGCTACAATTCAGGCCCAACTCAATGGCAACCAACAACAAAAACAACATAAAAATAGTAACACTGCCAAGGTTTTTCTAGCAGCCATCCACATACTGAAATGAAGAATAAATGTAAGTGTATTAGATATAAACCATATAATATTCAGTGTCAGCCCTTTATATCAGGAATAATCGAGTACGTTATAAACCCCTTGCCTTTACAGAGGTCAGCTTAACTTTCCAGAGACCATTCCGATGTACAGCGTGTGTGTACTTACACCTATAACATCAGGGGTGGGTGTGTGTGTGGACTGGGGATTCCTAGCAGGTTGCTCTGTGCTGCTCCCTTTGATTTCGGTTGGGAAGGAGCCTTAAGAATGTGCTGCTTCAGGAAGTAGCTAAGAGAATACGCCATCCCCTTTTCCTTATGAATCAGGGTGAAATCTCTCTCAGGGAGGAGTGATAGGGAATGGCAAAGGACACACTGACAAAGGAGATTAATCAGAACTGACTTTGACAAGCACTGTGGCAATGGGACAATTAAAACAGACTTTCAAGGGCGGGAAAAAATGAGGAACGAAGTGAGAGGGGAGGGTAGAGAAAATAGTGCAACAATGAATGAATAGAAACCCAAAATCTCTATAAATGTTCATAAAAATAAAATTTAATAAAAAAAAAGAATGTGCTGCTTCATCACATACATGTGTTTATCCACCAGTCCATCCTTTCAGCCACGAAATGCAATTAAAACCTAGTCCTTGTCAATGTCCATGAGTCACTGATGAAAGGAAATGAGTACTGGTGGCATAGTACATGTTGGTGGTATTAACATTAGATGTGCTGTTTATTGAGTAGTAAGAAACTGTATGCATATAGAATTAAAAAGGGGTCTTTTGGGGAAGATAGGGAGAAATGGGTATAGTTTTCCTGAAAACAGAACCATTTAAGGGAGCTCTGGTTGCTTAGAGCTTTGCACTGCTAGGCCAAAGGCCCCGCTTCTCTGGAGATATGAATCTACCAGTGGCCCCTTGGAAGACAGGTGGACGAGCAGCTCTGAGTCAGAACCGACTAGACCACACTGAGTATTTGAAGAAATCTAGGTGGCAATTGAATGCCACAAACTGGCAAAAGGGAGAAATACCACTGCAAGCACAAAAATCGCCCGAGACAACCACATTTATGATTTGTAGTGTTTCATTTACTGTTTAGAGGTTACCTGAGTCATCTCCTCATTTTACAAAGAAAAAAGTTAAGTCTTGGAAAGATGATTGTCTCAAGACCTCCCCAAGAGCTAATCCCACAAACAGGATGGAAATACACATCTTCAGAGCGCCCATCCATTGCTCCTCCCTCCCATCACATAAAATTTGAACTGAACCTTAAAGACTAAGGGAGAAAAAACCACTAGGCAAAAATGGGGGGAAGAGGGAACAATCATCCCAGGCATGGGAATGGCTTGGTAAATCAAGATCTATAACTGAGTACTGCTATTGAGAATAACAATACCTGAATAAGTCAATCACAGTCCGTGGTCTTTCTTTTCTTATAACACAGGGTCTATATTGAGAGATATTACGAAAGGAGAGTTGAAAGGCTAGATGTGAGCCAGGTACGGAATGTTGTGAATACTTTGCCATTCTTTGTTACTTAAGGCTTTGTTAGTACTAGTTGTATTTACCCTATTTCTAGATACTGCTATTATATATTTATTGTTGTTGTTGTTGTTTGTGCCATTGAGTCAGAACCTACTCCAGCAGATTTTTAGGGGCACTAATCGCACACTAAGAAATCGCCCGTCTTTCTCCCATGGAGCAGCTAATGGGTTCAAACCCTGGGTCTCTGGGATTCCAGCACAGCTTTCCACCAGATCATCAGAGCTCCCCAGTTATAGGGTAGGGTTGTTTTTTAAAAAAAAAAATTTTAAAAGATATTGACAATGTTAGACCCAAGTCAGAAAGAACTCAGAAATAAGAGACAAAGAAGTGTCCCCGCAAGATGAAAAGAACAGGCAAAAGCCCATCCACGGAAGATACTGGGTACCAAAGAGCCTTGACTTAATTCTTAGAATTAATTATCTCTTTTTTCCTTAGCTGGGTAGTGGGAGTGTCTGTAGTTTTGTTCTAGGTTAAGGAGAAGAACAGGAGGCCTAAGCAGAGGATGACAGATGGAAAGGAGGTGTAGATGGGGGAGCCAGTTGGTGGGTACAGAAGTAGATCACTAACAGTGATGAAAAGCTCCAGTGAGTAAGAGGAGAATAAACACAGGTGGTCATAAAAGACAGGGAAGAAATGCAAAGCCCGAAGTGTACAACAGTTCAAGAGAGATTTGTAATGGCCCAGGGATCCTGAAGGTAAAATATGTTTGTTTGCATTATCATACAATATCATAATATTTATTCGTTGGAGGGCACTGCATCATCCAGAACAGGCAAAATTATGTCCTGAATTTGAAATGCAGAAAAACAGATGTCATGGAAACAATTGCATGTAAAACATTAACCCTTTCAATGCCAGATTATCATTTCTGTGACCTAAAAAATTTACTTACACAGCATACTTCCAGTTATCATTAAGTCAGCATTAAGACATGATTGCTTTGCATGTATTATATGTCCTTTTTGGGGGGTGTGTGTTTTACATCCCCAAATGCTGAGAGGCTCATGCATATGTTAGAAAGCAAAGGTGGTATCAGAGTCATTGCAGTAAAGCCTTTGTGTGAGTATAGAAAATTTTAACACTGACCTCCCTCTCCACTGGAGCCTGCACTTGTCTTTGCAAAGTAGGCTTTGGTGTATGCCATGAATCTAGACGGTATATGCCTTCTACAATGAGGACCTTCTCAGGAAAAAATCGGCCAATGTAATAATGTGACTGTAGCCCCAAGTTTAACAGCAAGTAGCTACTGCTGACCTGCAAGATATAAACTGAGTTGCTTATAAGATGGTAAATCTTCTACTAACTTCACATTCTCACTGCACTCAGATGCTAAGCTTTAGGCCCCAGCGACACCAAGGTGCTTGCAGCTCCCTATCAGAAATACCCAGGGCTCCCCCAGGCTCTATGACTTTCTCTGTCCTGCATCAGCTATAGTAGAGAAAGTAGGTGAAAGACAATTTAAATGAAAAATTGATCAGAACTAGATTATAAACTAAACTGAAAATTAGAAAAAGGAAGAAATCAAAAACCCCACTGAAGAATTTTTCTTTTACTTTTCAAAGAGAAGAATGAACTGGAAGGGAGGGTGAGCAGGGAGAAAAGTGCAACAATGAATGAATGGAAGTCCAAAATCTCTATAAATTTGCATTAAAATTTATAATAATTTAAAGAAAAAACACACCCACACAGAGCTTCCTCCATATTTCCTTTATACAAGGCAGGTCTGTCCTTTGAGATGTAACTTTCTAATGAATCTATCTTTATTTTACCTTCCACAAAAAAAAAACAAACAACCCAACCCAAAAGCAACAAACATCCTCAATGAAGAAAAAGCACTGTACTATATATTAATCCAACATTGTAATTCATTAATTATATTCATCTGTTATTTTTGTTATAAATGTATAGGCTGATCAAATAAATTGTAATTACTGTGTTATAAAACAAAGTGTATATGAGTGATTGAATAGAAAATCAGTATGATTTATAAACTTTCCCTCAAATTAAAATATATGAAAGATTCTCCCCAGTAGTATTTTTGGTTTTAAAAGAGTGTGATGGAAGCCCCTGGCAAAAGACAAGACCATAAGAAAGGAGGAGACAAAGGATCCCAAGACACTGTGGGCTCGGAGTTTCCTTCCGGTCTGTGGAGTGTTCTGGAGGCAGTTAGCAATGCAGACACTTGGAGTTGTGATGCAAGGTTAAGAATAAAGAGAGACGTTTGAAATGTTATCAGCTGTCACATACTCTCAGTTTTCCACCCCAGTTTCATCCAGTCCAGCCTATGACATTTTTCATTTGTTAGCTATGCCTTTATTAAGGACAACATTTCAAAAAAGAAAAAAAATCTGTTTCTACTTTACAGAAAGAAATTCTGGAACAGCAGCAGCAAGAAAGAAATGACACCAATTTTTATGGCATTTGTATGTTTTGCAATGTGGAATTCTCCGGTAACAGGTGTGCATTTTATGTCTCATTGAATGCTACGGTTTTTTGTTTGAGAGATCATCAGAACATCCATAACTGATAGTTATAAATGTATTCGTCTCAGTGCCTTTATATATATCATCAGGCCTTTATTTTTTAATATGTCTTACATAAAAGATGGGCTGTAGGGGAGCTCTGGTGGTCTAGTGGCAAGAAGCTGCACTGCATTCCCAAAGATATGCAGTTCAAATCCACCAGATGCTCTGCCGGAGAAGGAGGGGAAATCTCCTCCTGTGCCAGTCAGATCTGATTTGACGGCACATACACACACACACAAAAATAATAAAAAAATTTTTAAAATGGGCTGTAATTTCAGAACAGAGGAATAAGTTTCAAAAGCTGCCCCAAATAGACTTAGGTTTAATATTGTAGTATTTTTGTGTGTATATGTATGTAGTGAAATATACAAAATTGAACCATTTTAAGTGTACAGTTATTAATATTATATTAATATAATATTAATTATATTTAGCATGTTAGGCAGTCATTGCCACTATCCATTTTCAAATGAAAACATCCTTCTAAAGAGAAACTTAGTCTCCCTTAAGTAATTAATCCCCATTTTCTCTTCTTTGTTGTTGATGGTAACTAGTGATAAACTCTTAATCCTATGCATTTACATGTTCTAAGTATTCCATATAATATTATTAATTTGTATCAGATAATAGCACTAATGTTACATAACAACATTACACAAATGCTATTCCTAGCCTGATGATTTTTTTCTTAAATGATTCTAAATAATGCTGATTGCTCAAATGTTTCCTTAGATCTGTTCTTTTGAACCACATGGCCAGAGAACATGCTTTCAACATGGGCTTGCCAGACAACATTGTAAACTGCAATGAATTTTTATATACATTACAGAAAAAGCTTGACAAGTAAGTGCTGGTTTAGGAAACATGGTTTGGGGCTATTTTAATCTTTGGTTCTGTTGTGTTTTTTTATAAATTAATTTCATAGCAAGAAGGGATTCCGGAACTTATCTGTCATATGAAGAAATTCACATTTTGTGTGACACTTCTCATTTTGTCTAGATCATGTTGTCTTTTAGTGTTTAAATTTTTAAAATAGAATATATCGTGTATATCAAAATGCTTTCGAACCATACAAAGAATATCCTTTACGCTAACCCAAGAACTAGAACATTCTTCATTGCTTTGGGTCATGCTGTGTAAGATCTCCTTCCTCATTTGTATCTCCACCCAATCCCTCCCCACACCAGAATTCTTCATTTTGAATTCTTTTCCTTATCCCTGTAGTGTTTCTACACATGTAGTAAAATAAATACATTGTCAGACTTGCATAGTCAACTTTATGTAAGACTTTAGGAGGTTAACACATTTTCTGAAGAACATACCTACATTTTCATTTTTAGAACCACTTTTTAATTAGTAAAGCCCAAAATGGTTCGTAGATATTAGCTGTTTTGACGGTTTTATTTAAAAAGCCAAGTTGACCAACATAGCCAGCTACAAAAATAAACTCTATTACATCAAACCGCCCAGCAAATAAACAAAGCGAGGTGTGCTTCTGACAAGACTGTTACAGAGCGATGTTCTGCTTTAATGGGTAATTATACACCTACACCTCACTTATCTACTACCTTATTAGCCGACATTTCACGTTTATGACAAGTTGAAAAACTTCTCAGACAGCAACTCTCATGGTCTGGGTTCTACCCAAAGTTGGAGCCAGGCCCAGAGCGCCCTCCAAAGGTCATCCTGAACAATACAGCGTCCCTGACAGCAAGAGATAGAGAGAGGACAGCAGCAAGTACCAGCCACCCTCACTCCTAACACCTGCAGACTCCACCTTGGTGGGGAAGGCTTGCTGTGCCACACACATCCTGAGACATCCAGGGCAGCCGGTAGGTAGAGGCAAGGAACCACCGCCAGAGATCAAGCACCGCCCTTGACTCTCATCATACCAGTTTGGAAACCTAACCATGTCTGTGAAACCAAACCATGTCCTTAAATGAGGAGGACCTGTCCTAACCTTTCAGTATCTCTTCTCATTTAAAGATTCTGTATGACCTAAAATGCACATATATCATTTTAATCAATGGTTGCAGTAACCACCTAAGTGATTGTTCAGTCTGTCAGTGTTGATGTACTTCTTCTAGCTTGCAGTGCTTATACTGTGAGAAGACCTTCAGGGATAAAAATACACTTAAAGACCATATGAGAAAAAAACAGCATCGGAGGATCAACCCTAAGAACAGAGAGTATGACCGATTTTATGTCATCAATTATTTGGTAAGTTTTTCTCTTTGTAACTTATGATCTCATTGCAGTAGTGCAAACAGAATCTTTCTAGTGACAAACTAGTATCTGAACAAGCAATTAGTACAAATGTCAAAATGTAATTGAGGGTACTTTTCAGCAGTGATTAACTTTAAAATGGATTTTATAAAATATGATTTGATACGTTATTGATTTGTGAGATATTTCTGTAGTCAAAACACCATCTCACTAGAGATCACAGGGGTCTTACCGAAAATTGTTGTTGTTGTTGTTGT